CTTTAATTTCCATAATGACTTTAAAACAAAAAAGAAAACTTGAAGTGAAAATATCCATGTACACATACAAAGGGAATATTTACAATGAATAAATAAATCAGAAGAGTTTGTAAAACAGTTTGTGTATGGGTGCTGTTAGATGAGCATAAACTGTTAAAAGCAAACAGTAAAGAAGTGGAAGAATGAGAGTGGCGGGGTGTGTAGGAAAACATCTTGATGGGTTGTGTCCGGGAAGGAGGTTGAGGTGGGGGGTGGGGTGGGGAGGGTTGATCGTGGGTTTGGCTTGGGGGGGTCCCGAGTATGATTTGATCCTGGAAGGCTCAATTAAGTGGTTCGTTTACCCCTCGTGTGGAGCTGGTGAATTGGAGCCAGGTCAGCTCCGGGTTGAGGTGTTGTTCATTATTTTTCCGCCTGTCGGATTCCATGAGCGGCCACTGGAGACGGTGGCTGCTCGGCGGCCGAGGAGCAAAGGGCCTGCCGGTGGGGTACGTCAAACACACTCAAAGCCTCTCCCCTTGCCTGGGGGATTATGATCAACAAAGCATGTCCCACACCTGCACCGGCCAGCACAATGGAAACTCCGCGGGCCAATGGAGACGCAGGGAGAGACCAGTTATTAGAGTCCCCCACCAATGAAATGGATTACATTAACCCCTTCTTCTGTTGTTTCTCCCGGAGCTTAAACATCGAACTGACAGACTCCACATCCCATTGATAAAAAATCCCAGTAACACTTTTATTCCAGTTTATCCACCAATGGGGAAGTATTGTGTCTCCACTGTTAAACTGTGTGATGACTTGGTGAAGTGTTGTAAAGCTGTGGTAAAACTTTGGCTGACTGGTTTTACTTACAGTACTTAATGCTGTTGACTGTACAGAAGTACTTAAGCATGATCGTAAGAAAAGTAAAGCGTAAGCAGTAAAGTGCAATAAAAACGCATCAAAAACACCACAAAACTAAACTTGAGGAGGCAGCTGAAGAATTTGAGGATGGCTGTTCAGTTTTTTTCTTTAGAAACAGAGACAGCCAACAACATGTCCATATACCTACAAGGTCTACTCAGTGTGTGAGGGTGGAGTTATTCAGCAAAGTGAGTCGGGTGTCCGTACACAGAGCTCTACAAGTAATCACTA